TTGTGTCATATAATTATGAGAAGAGATATTTTTTCAAACTGATCTCAAGAAACTAGGAGAAAAATTGAGCTTTGAGATTAACTTGATGAAAAAATTAAAAAAATTGAGAGACTTCCATTTGATAATAATAACTAGAAAGTAGATATAATCTAAATTAAAAAAGTGACTTAATGTTTTCTTTTATTGTCAAGATAAAATTTAAAAGCTCATGATGGAGAAACTTTTTTACGAATTCTCGGGGCAATCAGGGGGTATGATACCATTTGATTGGATTACTTTGCTTGTATTGGTTGGAAAATAGATGAAATACTTGTTTGTCTTCCATTAAATTCTAATACCTTTCTGAGAATTTATTTTTCTTGGTTCAAGAATTTTTCTCTGGAAGTTAATTTTTTTTTTTCACTGCATAAATGTTTCAACGTAATACTTTTTATTATCGACCGTAAATACTAAAAATTGTTAAACTATTTCATTATATTAAATCGAAATTAATCGACTATAATAAAATAAGCCTTAATTGTTTGAAACGTTTAATATAATTATTGTTAATAGCAACAATTAAAATTTTTTAGTAATATTCTAAAGAATCTGTACTTCAATAAAGATTGAAAAAAAAAATTTGTCAATTAATTGAACATCTTTCGTTTCATTCTAAATATTCTTTAGTGAAATTTTTTCTCGAGTTTTTTGAGCCAAAATTTTGCTTCTTGTTTTTTGCGCTTCAATAATTAATAACTTAGCAGCAAATAGTCGGAAAGATTTAAAAAATCTAATGTTCTTCGTTATTAAATTTCTAACACAATCTAATCAGTTTGTCTCGATATAGTTCTCAATATAGTTTCCGAGATATTCCATTAAACAAATAATTTTTTTTAAACAATTAAAAAACTAAAACCTGATTATGTTTTTTTTTTTGTTAATTCAACTAATGGTATTTTCAATTCTGTACGAATTTTTTAAAAATTGGAATAGCTAGAACTTAATTGTGAACAAATTGGCTTTTATTTCTTCACCTATTAAACTATAGGCCTTATTATTAGCCAAAGATAAAAAAATTTCAATCAAAATTTTATTTATTGATTAGACACTTAATTAGACCCTTACAGACGTAGACTAGGCTGGCTTTCTATCGCAAGTCGTAGAATTTATTATTTAGCCAATTATTTTTATAAATTACTCTCTGTAAATAAACCTTATTATCTACGTGAATTATTGTTCATAGAAGATATAGATATTAGACGATAAAATCGTTTAGCTACTAAGAAAAACAATGTAAATTTTAAAATACCTAACTTTACAACCACTCACTATGAAGGTACATTTGTAATTACTGCTATACGTTTGTGACAAGAACTTCCGTCTGATATTGTCAATGCATCCAGTCTTGAGGTTTTCAAGAATAAAATTTTTGACTATTTGTTTAACCTTGATGTATAAAGAGAATTCATAAATGTTTATAAGATTGTTAGAGAAATCGAAACCATAATTATTTTATAAAATCGAAATCAGAGTACTTATAATATCTGTAAATTATTATTAATATTTTTAAATTTGTAATAAATTGTATTTCTTATTTTTACTTGCCTTGTAAATTATTATTATTAATATTTTAAATTTGTAATTAATTGTATTTTTGTTATTTTTACTTGCCATTTGGCCAGCAGGCTTTGGCATAAATAAATAAATAAATAAATAATCTAATCTAATTTTTTTTTAATTGCCGAGAGTACCTAATTTAAAAATATTAGTAAAATATGAACAATATAAATCTTAAAGTATGAATTTGAATTGAAACAAAACTTTGGTAGTTTCTTAGCAATAAATAATTCCGCGTACAGTTCCTAGTATGATATACAATATTATAATGTATATAATTCACAGATAATATTTATGAGAACAATAAATAATGAGACTCTAAACTAAACTCGGGCGGTGTGTAATTAAAGCCCCGATAAAAGTTATAATGAAACAAAATGGCAACCAGCACCCAGCAAATAGCGTGCAATAACAAATAGTAAATCTGCAGTTAACTCTTTGAAGACAAAAATAATGGAAAAAAAAATATAAGAGCCCTTCTATTTAATTGATTACTTTTTTTAACCATCAAAAGGTTAGTGTGAAGCAGTTGATGCGGTTTATGGTTGCGTTCAAACTGTGACTAAGGGATGAATGGCTCGGTGACAGTAGTGGGATTGAGTTATGGACAGAAATAGAATAGTAAAACAAGTAAACTCGTGAATTTGTCTCTCAACTCGTATATTTAATAAAAGCTTTGTCGTAAAATACGATAACAAGTCTCTGGATGTTTATGCTGAAGTATCCTCTGTGTATACACCGTGTTGTTGTTATCATTGTTGTTATTGCGGTACCGGGGTAATAAAACAGAGCTGTAGTATTCGTACCCGTACATCTCGGATCCTGGTTCGTTTCTCTTATATTCGCTTTAATTATAATTGATGGAAAACGCAATTGTCGCAGCCAATCAACCCCCTGTGAATAAGATCCGCAATTACATTCACGCTTAGTGCTCTACCTATCATGTATACTTTTCATTCGAATTCAAGTGTCCTATTTTTTTATTTCATCATCCACTTGATTCCTACTCGATACTTTTGTATTTATTTAACGTTAAAATTTTCTTTTCATTTTATTTTTTTAATTGTAAAAAATACTGATGGAAATTTAATACGTTTTTTTAATATTAGTTGTAATTTTAATAGTTTAGAAAAATAAGTTGAAAAAATAATAATAAATTTACTATTGAGGATGATGAGATTTGATAAACATTTTTTTGAGACAAACTTTTAATTTTTCTATATAAGCAAAACAGGGTTCCTTTGACAACACTTCACATCAAAACTGCTGAATTACTGAAACTACTAGGGCTTCTTGAAACATGAAATTTAGGACTTGTCTATTAAACTTCAATAACTTCAAATTTTCTTATGTATATGTATATTTACTACTTATAATTGTTAGTTGCTTATATCATTTATTATTTAATATTTATATTATATATAATAATTATGACTATTATGGTTTTTGATTATATTCTTAATAATATTTGTATAGCAGTATACCATTTATCTTATATGTTTAATTTATAATAATGTAAAATTTCTCATTTACTGCGCCTTTAGTTCAAAACTTTAGTTCAAAACTTATATATAATTAAAATTTATAAATGTAAAAATTTTCTTATGTACTTCGCCTTTAGTTCATAAATTATACTAAGTTTATTAAATTATGTATAAATTGTATTGAGACCCTGTTATTGGCCTTCCAGCTGTTGGGTTTATTGTTACTAAAAATTTCCTTACAACAATCATCTCTTTGGCAGCGGGAAAAAAGTCATTATAAGGTTTCCAAAATTTAACTTTAGATATAGTTATTCAGTTGAAAGACTAAGAATTTTACATACATGTTATTTTTGTTGATCACATAAGCGATTAATTGTTGTTATTGTGGGATCGCGGGAATGTAACAGAATTTAAATCGAATTCGTAAAAAACATATAAAATTAATTTTCTATAAAAAATTGATGTCACTGAGAAAATTTTAATAAACGGAAAAATTCGTCGCACTTGACGCTATAGGCAAATTTTTTCACTTATGAGACCTGCAATTTCTTTAACTTTCAATGCTCATTTCAAATATTTTTTTTTTGATAGAAGGTACATGCCAATTCGATGAAATTTGGAATCTGCTCATGTCAAAACAATACTCTAGATCTAAAAATGCAATTTTATAAAGCAATTTAAATATCTCGGAAACTGGGCCCATAACCTTAGATATTTATAAACAATTAAAATAATTTCTATTATTTAATTGATTTAGAAAAATTACACATTCTATTACTGTAATTTTTATCACTTGTTTTAGCTAATGTTAAAAAAAAATTTACCAATCTTTAATACTATCTAAATAAAACTTACCGATCGCTGTAGAAACTCCTAAAATCCGTATGAAAATTTCGAGATTAGAGTCAAACGTTTTGGGAAAGTCATTATCCACATTTTGGTCAGAATTTAGTTCAAAATCTTTACCGTAACTGAGCATTATAAGCTGAGTACGTGTCAATTTGAGCATTTAGCCCAGAAAAAGTTTTTATATAAATTTACTATACCCTGGTAAAATTTAAACAAAGTAATTTGTAAGCTTTGCAGAATTTAGCAACACTAAAAAGTTCGGGAGTTGTTAACTCGTGATTGCGGTTCTGATTATATTATTATAGAAGAAGCACGTGTCCGCGTTGCAAGATCGCGCACTACTGAGCCACTCTCTAAGGGTGCTACAAGATTCGCAGCATCCCCGCGGCTAAATCTCGATTCTGCGCTCGTAACTCTCTCTCAATTTTTTTGAAATTTCTCGATTCTATTTATTTAAAATTCAATCATTTTTGTTTAAAAATTTTCTTTAATTTTATTGAAAACTAATTTTCAAAAAATACGAAATAATTTTTATTAAAATCATTCACTGTTGATATTTTAAAAACTTTCAATCAATTGACATGACATAAAAAATTTTAATAATAAAAAGTAATTTTATAGAGTCAAAATAATCAAGTAAATGATGTCGAATAAAATAGTGAAAAATTTATTTATTGATGACTCGAAAAATACACAATTACATTTATTTATTCCTTCATTAAATTAATTAATTAATTGATTAATATCAATTGTTTAAAAAAAGTTGAGGTAGACTCTCCGTATCGAACGTTTTTTATTTCTACTTAATTATTATAATTATAAACTTGAATAATAATTTAACACGTGTAATTATTATTTCAAAGTTATTTAATAACACTGATTAAATATTTAAATTTTAATTAACACGTACATGCAAATTTCCAACAAATGAGTCCTTATTATTCACCATCTGCAATCTCATTATGTTATTTGATATTTATATACTATCTTCACTCAATTTATTAATTTCGGCATCATAATTTTCACCATACCATCATGTCACGCACACGAATTAACAAGTGAACACGCTAGCTACCTTTCTACTCTACAAATATTTTTAGCTGATTTCTTGTAACTTCTCAGGCTCGAACTATCTCTATTTAGTCTTGTCAACTTGGCAGATTGAGTTATTTGTTTACCAGTAACTTCTAAAAAATCATCTCCAGTTAAGTGACACGAACTCGGCTTCACTGGACGTAGAATGGGACTCAAAGAGCGACGGCCTCGCTGTTTTATTGTTGGTGACTCAATCGATCTGTTTCAAATATACATATTTTTTTTATTTATTGAACAAGTTTCAAAGTAAAACGTATTCAACCCCATTTTTAATAAATAAAAATATATTTATAAGTTAACATAAGTGTTTCTAATGAAAATATCAACAGTTATGAATCAATTTATGCGCAAAAAAAAAGTGGAGATAATTAGATATTTATATTTTTACAAGGTTTATAAAGATTTGCTATAAAAGCAGCAGCAATTGAACAATCAATTCTGATGTGCTGAAGTAGTTAAACACTCCGGGAGCAATAGTTGAACAAGCATTTCAGATTAGATAGCATATAATTAATAAATTTTCCTTTCATCGATTTATCAAAATATTGTTTTAAGGAATTTATAAATAATAATATCCATAAGAATTTGAAAATATATTAGACGTTCATTTAAAAACCAAAAATATTGTTATTCAATTTTTCAATTTTATTGTTATTAACATTATAACTTTTTTATATCACAAATCACTGATATTAAAATTTAAACAATATCTGTTGAAATTTAAATTTTTTTCAGTGGTTCATAATTTTTCAGACTTTTTATACTTATTTGGGTAATTATTTACAAGTAGGGTCAACTCATGTTGACCCATGTTAAATTTTTTTTTTTTTTTATCAAATTGATCAATTTTTTTTTATGTAATTTAAAAAAAAAACATCAAAAAAAAAATAAAATATAAATTTTATCCAAAAACATGAAAGCCAATTTTTTTCCAACTTTTAAAGGCAAAAAATCTATCGAAATCTTTTTTTTTTCCTTATAAAAAACAATATAAAACCTTTATAATTATTCTTAACTACGCTAATCTTTATATATAAAATTAATTAATTCAACGCCGTAAGTAGTACTAATCACAATGTTGATTACTAGTGCCATTAGCTATTTAAGATTAAAATTTTACTTTTACAAAATTAATAACTTTTTACTTCGAATTATTTTTAATTGTCGCTCTAATCAACAACCAAATTGCGACCTTATTGTATTTACATTGCTTATATCTTATATCTATGAAACATAATTAAACCACATTGTTTACTATTGTACCATTACTCTGTAGACTATTCAACTACTATACTGCTGTGATTAGAAAATACATAAGGACCAAAACTTAAACATGCAACGCCAACTTGTTTAAGTTTTGGGTACAACTTTGAAAATTGAGAGGTATAGTAAGACGATTAAATTTAATATATACGTAATGTTTTAAAAAGATTATTTTATTTATTGGTAATAAATAACATAATCCCTATTTGCAACGCAAATTTTTTACAGCGTACTATCATTAGAAACGAATCATACTACTATAAATTACTCATCTAATCAATATAAATAATGATAATTACCTATTTTTACTACTAGGTAAACGTGAGGGATCAATAGGAGCAAGTCGTAAATTTTTGGGCCACGCTGGGCTTACTGACGACTGCCAAGCCGAATGTCTTTGAGGCAATCTATTCGATGATTTACGATACGAATAATTTAATCTCGACGCTGAGTTCATGTTTCTATTAAAACCTAAAAAAAAAATAAATAATAATTCATATAAAGCCTACAAATAAACACATATTCAAATTTAACTAACTTTTGCAAGCTAATTTTAAACTTAAATTATTTACAATACCATTACTTAAAATAATCATAATATTTACAATATCAATACGACTATTGTTTTAAATAAAATTATTTACAATAATTAACAAAAAAAAAATAACCAATCACCTTGTGGTGTCGAAAGCTCTAAAAGATGTCCAGCATACTTAATAGGAGTAGTTTTTAACGTGCAAAAACTTTCGCGCGTAGTAACAGCGAAAGGCACTGGACTAACGACTATTTTGTTGTTAAAAACCGTACCGAGTTTATTTCTACCATGCTTGGCATCCGTTCTGTCGGGATCCTCATCGTCATCATCCTCTTCCTCATCCTCATCGTCGACATCATAGTCATAATCAACAATACCGTAATCAGCGTCTTTGGCATTTCTAAGTGCTCTTAAAGCCGTGTCAGTACGTTCAGTCAATTCGAACGACTCAAATAAATTGGCACTACTTTTTCTACTATTACTTTTACTACTTTTAGATACATTTAACCGTCTACCACTGTACGTTGGCGCTGGTGTTATTCTCAATACTTGGTCTAAATTCTCCAATGGCTTTTTGTCAACCGATTTACTGTCGTCGTTGTTATTTTCGTTGGCGATATTATCCTCATCCATCTCTTTTTCTAGTTCTATCATAATATACTCTAATAGTCTATCTAATACTTGTTCGCTTTTTATTTGGATCAAACGTTCTTCCTCTGGACTCAATTCCTGAAAATATGATACTTTATTAACGTGATTGTAAATTTTCAACAGTAATTATAATAAATTAATAAAATTTAACTGGTCTAATATTTAGCGCTAATAATTTTATTTTTAGAAGTTAATCAAAATCTCTAAATTATAATCAATTCAATTAACTATTTTATATTTTTATTTCTTTTTTAAAACTTTACAATAAAAAATGATTTGTCTATTTTTTCATTTGGCGTTATTCATTACTTCAAGATTTTTTTTTTTCGGTGCTATTCAAAGTTTGAAATGATATCATTTAAGATTTTGAACTTTCTAATAGTACTTTTTTAATTTTTTTGATTTAAAAAAATTTATACTCTAAAATGGTAACAAAAATTAGAAGTACCATTTGTGGCCACTGTGCCGTTTATGGCCATTTACTGTTGAAATAAACGATAGAAATGAATTTATATTAATAAACCATGACAAACTTGATTTGTTTTAATATAAATTTTTTAAAACTCAACAAAAATATGGTTATAAATTTTTATAAATTAATTCAAATTTTCATTGTCCAAAAACGGTGCTAAGGTGGCCAAAAACGCTACTTCTACTCTAGACAAAAAATTTTTAAGAAAAAAACGTCAGATTGCTTATTTACAGAAAAAAAAAAGTTTTTTTTATCTTCTAATTTTTCAAAATAAATATTCAACTATAAATTTCTAAATCTGAATATTATTAAAGTTTATAATTTTAATTTTTTCAATTTTTAAATAAAAAAAATTTCAAATTACAAAACTTGAAATAACAAAAACTAGAACAAAGATTCCCAATAAAAAACAACTAATACCTCAACTTTTTCAGTAACCTCCGAACTCTCAACTTCTTCTTCTTCCTCCTCATCTTCATCATTAGGCTCAATGTTCTTCCCCACGACCCTGTAATGCGGAATCTGGGACCGCCACTGCACACACTCATCCATAACAGCCCCCAGCTTCACCTCATCGTCTTCTTTGTACATAGTCCTCTCCACAGCGGCCCAAAGCTTTAAAACTTTCTTCGTAGCAGCTTCTTCAATATCTTCCGGCCAAGAAGACGAGGTCGCTCTGCTGTTTACGTCCCAAGGGGACCCTGATTCTGGCCATTTTTTGCTTTTGGCGCTCTCCAGGTAGCTTATTACTTCATTTCTGCTACTCACTGTCATCTTCGAAGGTTTGTCCTTCAATCTAAAATACCAAACCTCCACAATTGTTTACCACTTCATAAAACTATCTTTTATTGATATAATTTAAATAAAACAAAATTACAATACTTACATTGATTTTTTTCTTGACATTTCATTCTGCGGTTCCCATGAGTTTCAACAATAAATGCATAAATAAATTCATTACTTTATTGAGGTTAAACTATTTACGTTTATATTGACGTTTGTTTAGAGTCTAGAGACTGTTTTATTGATTAACTCAACTTGTTTATGTCCATGCTCTCAAAAACTATTTACCTGAAATTTTTTAACATAAAAACACCGTTAATTTAATAAGTATGTAAGTAAGTAAGTAAATAAACAATGAAAATAATTGAGGGGAAAAAAAATGAATAAAAAAAAATTGTTAGAGGTTGAAGCTGATGCTTTTGTTCCGATTGTTTCAAGCCGACTGAAATCTGAACTCTGAACTGACATGAACACCCGGTGGAATAAATGTGCTTTTATCCGTTCTATTGAGCCTGCGCTTTTTCGACACTTTGTATCTATATATAAATGTATATAATATATATTTACTTTTACACTGCAATTCCACCTGTAATAAATAAGGTTGAAAAGAGAATAAAATAAAGAAAGAGTGAAGAGTTAAATTTTATGTAGGTGTATCTGTGAATTAACCAAGGGCATCTTATTTAAAACTTTTAACTTTAGTTTGTTTGTTATCTGATAATTGCACTTACGTATAATAAAAGTATTAGTTGTTTAAATTATAGAGATCAGTTAACGGTGTTGCATGTGTGATTCCTGATAAAAATTCAACATTGCTTGACCTTCATATTTGTTTGTTGTTTTTTAGTGTTTTTATAAGATTTTGCGATCCGAGCTTTTAATTACCCTCCACAACCCTACAACTTCTATTTAAACATGTAGTGTGTTATATATGTTTAAATTTATTTACTGTATCTAGGCTCCATCTTGAAGAGTGTTTCGAACTTACAATTTACAATCAGATGGTGTGCTTGTTGATGTTTTGATAGTATCTCGCTATATATTGCGTTTAATTGTTTTGTCAATAAAATTTTTTAGTTACATATTTAATATTATTTTTTGAAGTTAAATTTTTAGTGAGTAAATAATAATAATAATTATTATTATGGCCAATGAAGAAGGATATGAACAGGTATATTTATTGTTAACCTCAAATTTTTATGATTTGATATCAAACTTCTGTTTTTATTTAAAAGAATAGATTATTATTATTTTAAAAATTTGCGCTTGCAGTTTTTTTGTTAATTTTCATTTTAGTTTTTTTATATTTTATCAAAAGTGAGTTTTTATTTTTAACATTTTTTTGTTTTTAAGTGAAACACAAAAAAATTCAAAATTTTTTTAAAAACCAGCTGAGATTTTTACTTATCATTTATTTATTTATTTATTTATTGATTTATTCATTTATCATTTTATTTTATTACTGATACTGAAATTAAGAGACATCTGATAATTTTTAGAATTTTTTTGACAAATAAATTATAACAAGAAAAATTTATTTAAAAAATTCCATCTTCAGAGGATTTAAAAAATTATAAATGTATTTTTTTTAAATAATTTTTTAAAACTAGTTTATTTTTTGATAAAAATCAAAAAGTTGTCAAGTGTCTGTTTATTTTAGTCATTTATTGCTTAAATTAAACTGAATGTGTAAACGATACTAAGATCAAAGACATTTGCAAATTTTTACATTTTTTAACAAGTATTTTATTATAAAAAAATTTTACTAGTGAAAATTAAAAAAAAAAAAACTGTGAAATCAATTTTTTAAAAACATTCTAATTCTCATTACTAATTTATTTTTTTAATTAAAATTACAAAATTTTAAGGTCCTGCTGATTTTACTATCATTATCCTGGTGATTAAAATCTTAATTTTACATTCAATAATTAATAATTAAATTGCTTGCAGTTCGAAGATGAAGAGACAGACGTCCCAATCGGGACTTTACCAAGTGGTCGCAAGCGCTTGTTCTCAAAAGAATTGCGCTGTATGATGTATGGATTCGGCGATGATCAAAATCCTTACACTGAGAGTGTAGACTTGCTGGAGGACCTGGTTATTGAATACGTAACCGAAACAACACAGCGGGCTATGGAAATTGGACGTACCGGACGTGTCCAAGTTGAGGACATAGTTTTTTTGGGTAACAATAATTATGCAACTATTTTTAGTCATAGTAATTTGCAATTTCAAAAGAAGACATTCAGTTGATCAATTAAAATTAAAACATTCAATTTAAGTTGACTAGAAAACTCGTTCAGTCAAAATTGTAATTTAAAAACTAGAAAGAAAAATTTTTGAATTTTTATAATTTCAAACATTTCATAATTAATTTCGGTTCCATGATTTTTGATCCCCCGACAAAATATGGTTTTTCTGAAATAATAATTATAAATTATTGAAATTTATTATAATTATTAAATTATAAATTACAAATTTATAATAATTTATAATTATTATTTCAGAAAAACCATATTTTGTCCGGGGATATTTTATCGGGGGATCAAAATGCCTGATACCATTAATTTCATTTACTTATAATTTAATAAATTCAATTAAAAATTTTTTAGTGGTCATATAATTAGGCTTGAATTATTCGAATTCTAAACTTCGATTTTTTTATACTAGATAAATATTGAAAATTAATAACAATAATAATAAATTAAAAACTCATTAAAATTTCAGTTAGAAAAGATCAAAGGAAATACGCTCGTGTGAAAGATCTGCTGACAATGAACGAAGAATTGAAGAAAGCTCGAAAAGCGTTTGATGAAGTTAAATACGCAGGTACTGTTAACCAATAAATAATAAGTTATTGTCCACTTATTATTATTTAACGCTGCCAAGTACATTTCATCGCATGTACACGACTTATTACACCTTTTATTTCATTTTATGTATTAAATTATAATGTAATGATTTATTTCTAAGCAAAATTGTTCTTAGCTTTAATTGTATTTTTATTGGAATGTGCAATATAAAAACTATTCAATGCATTTCCATTGCAGCAACGCAAAAAAAATGTTTTTTTTTTTTTTTTTCCGCCACTTTTAAAATTATTTTTATTTAATTATTAAAAAAAATATTTACATATCGCATGTTTATTCTCAGCAACTACAATCTGTACATGAATGCATGATTGGCATGTTACTTCATGCATTTATATCACGTCTGAAAAGTAATTATATTATTATTTTTATTTTATTATATTACTATAAAGTATTACTTTGATTCTTTTAAACATAAATATTATATTTAGTTACTTACAATAACATATCATCAATCGCGTTTTTCGATGACAGAATAACGTCGTTAACTCCAATACCCTGATAAGAAGAACCACAAATTGCTAAAGACATTCCATGGGCAGTTATGTAATCACGAATGCGTTTCATACGTGCGTCGTGTCCAACTATTTGCTGGGGGATACAATCTTTCAAAATTGATACGTCAACATGTACTGGATCTTGTTTTAAATTTAATATATTACGCAATTGTTCCATTGCTATGGACAGTAAGTATTCTTCTGTTGGATTTTTTCCGAAATATTGGTCAAACCACGCACCGCCCATCATTGCTGTTAATACCTGTAATTATATTATAATATAATTTAATTATAAATAACATTAGCTTAAAAGTAATCAAATTTACTCTGAAACTTCTTTAATTCATAATTTAATATTCATAAATTTCTGCCATTAACTTAACTAGAAATTTTTTGTATAGTGCAAAACAATTTAATAAAAAAATAAATGACACTGAAATTGATAGACATAAGAAATTTTTTTAGAACTTTATAACAAGTAAATTATTATAAAAAAAAATTAATTAAAAAATATCACATGTAAAAATTATTAAAAATTACAAGTGAAAATTGTTAGAATAATTTTTTTATTGTTATTGATTTGTTAAAAAAAATTTTTTTAAATTAACAGCTGACGGCTAACTTCAGTATTATAAAAATAATCGTTTAATAAATACCGTTGATTTCTCAGAACGAACACAAGAGTCAAAAATAACACCTAGCAGCGGTAAATTCTGGTTAGGTGGGATTAAGAATCCAAAAGCTTCAATCGGCACAACTTTATCTTTAAACTCAAAATTAATTACAGCGACCGTAACAGAAGGTATCGCTTCCAACTCCTGGGCCAGCTCTGGATGTTGTTTCTTCACGAGCTCAGCAAGATTTTGAGCTGGAAGACTAGAAATAATTTTGTCGAACTTATGAAGCTTACCATCAACCTCCACATCAACTTCTTTATCCCCGAAGGTCAAATTAGTGCACTTCTTCAGCTGGATATCGACTTTGTCAGCCAAATGATCAACCAGTGCACCAGGTAAAGTTTCCATCCCGTCAGAGAGGGTCCACACTGCCCACTTTTCCTTCTGTGCCAGCAACGCTAATCTGGAAGAGCCCTTGTGGGTCCTACCTAGCAGCATATCATTTTGTTCTTCCTGCTTTCGCTTATTAATGGCCTCCTGGAGCTTGTTGCTCTTCAACATCCCCTTCAAGACTCCACCATGCTTCTGCTCAGCCTCAAACAGCGAACGCATCAGGAATTTCACGCTTATTTTTTTAGCGTCTCCTGCGGCTATTCCGCAGACCATCGGACTGATCATGTAGTCCGCTACATCCTGGCCCAACCTCCTTTTGACGAAACTGTACATATCCTCGTCCTCTTTTTCGACTTTTGGAGCTCTTAACTCTTGCCACAATGACATGATCAGCGGGCGTTTCATTGGTGACTTGGTGGAAAATAAATCCAGGAACGAACTTGGAAGCACGTGAAGCTTTTTGTCGGCATAAATGAGCCGGTTCTTGGATGTAGGGTGTGTCTGTGTTATTTTTATCAGCTGATCTCCTAAGTTTAGCTCTTCAACCATACGGAGAGTATTCTTACCGCCCTCTCCAAAGGGTCGCACTGTGCGAGGACCTTTTTCGAAGGTCGCTCCTGAAGGCGATCGTTTGGTTCGTATCCATCCACCGAGGCGCTCACTTGCTTCGAAGAGGGTCAACGCACCTAATCTTGGGTTTTCTAAGGCGTAAAACGCTGCTGATAAGCCACCTATACCACCGCCCAGGATTGCTGTCATTTTTTTGCTAAAAAAACAAATAATTGTTAAGAAAATTAAAAAATAATATATTATTATTTAAATAAAATTTTTAATTATTATTTTATTAATTAACAAAATGGTTTTTTTAGTTGAATCTGATTATTTTTTAATGAATTAACATACAAAAAACTATTTTATAATTAATTAAAAAATGAATGATTTGTTAAAAATATTTAATAATAATAATAATAAATTTTTATATCAGGAATGTGGACAAGATAGGATCATAATAACAAATTACATTATTATTTCTGCTATTAAATAATAATATTTATAACTAATTCTAAAAAAAAAAATTGTATCTAAAATAACGGTAATTTAAATTCATTAATTGAATATTACATTTGACCAAAATTTTAATTATCAAAAAATATTGTTAAAGATAATATGTCATATATATCATAAATATATATATTTTTTTTATAATTTTAGATCACTCACTTGATTTTAAATTTCCTGATTATCTTGTATTGTTTAGAAGAATTGATTATTTAGAATAAAATCTCTTGAGGTATAGAAAGCAGGATCTGAAAACAAAATTATTGAGGTAAAAGACCTAGTACATTTACAAAAATTGTAAATAATAGAGTAATGTGCAGAAAACACTATCCACTAATAAAAATTGTTTTTTCATATTATTCATTGATATTACTTTGAAATGAACATTTTTAATAAATTATATAATAATTAATGTAATTTGTTTTTTCAATAAATTAATTAAGTTTTTACTATATAATTAGTAGAAAAAATTTAGATCTACAATATGAGTACATAATTAAAGAGTAAATGCATTAAATACCTGTCAAAAAAGTGTTAAAATATATATATATACAATAAAAAATATCAATCAGAGTAATTATTATTACTTTATGTTGTGATTCGGCAAATAATATTTTGATTATTGTATATTATTTTGTTAAAAATGCTTTTAGTTGCAGATGGTAACAACTTCATTGAACGCTAGGTGGAGTTAAATTGACCTTCTAAAATTCTATATATAGATGTCTAAGTTTAAAAATTTTTACTTAATTAAAATTATATAAATTTGTCAAAAACTAAAAAAATTTGGCAAAAATCAATAAGATAAAAAAATAAAGCATCCAGTACTTAAACAATGCAAAAAATGGGATCAGTATTGGAACAAATTGTTTAAATATGATCCTAAAGTTAGCCGAAATCCGTCACTTTGAGAATAAATATTCTGTAAATTTAGAAAAAAAAAATTAATTATAATAACAATTACGAGTATTTACAATTAGTTATTAATAATGATATTTAATATAATTTTAAAATAAATGCTCACTTATTTTTTCTAATACTGTATAAGGAACAAAGGCAACGTCTCCATGGCCGCTTGTCAAGCATCTAGAAGTTTAAATATTGACATTTAATTACTTGTTAATTAGAGTGTGACTGATAAGGTACGAGAAAATGACAATAAATTGCTATTAAATTAATAACGTACGAGAGAGCTCCTTTACTGTCACTAAAATCTTCCGCTTGGGTAGGCTGACATTTAGTCGCTTCTTTGTTCTGATCGTCTTGGGACTCCATGTCTCCGACGCACTGCTGACAAAGAGGTGACGTCTTAGAAGCACCTGGTGCACAAGATCCGCCAAAGAACTCCCCGAGTCCTTCCTCTGAGGTTATTAGACCGGCTTTTTTTAATACTTGGACTGGCGCCAACCACCCGGTGAAATCGCTCTTATAAAATGTGTAACATGATTTTTTGTCTTTCAGATCAGCTGTGGTTGAAGAAAATTATTATTAAATTGGGAATAAATATAATTAACTAAAATTATTTAGAAAATAGATAAATTATTAATACCTAATTTATTAATTGAACTATCTTTCATAACAACAGCAACTGCTGGACGTTCACTGAATTTAATTAAACCATTTTCATAATTTTGCAAGCTCTCTTGATACTGAAATTGAAACACATCTGATAATTTTTAAAACTTTTTTAACAAATAAATTATAACAAGAAAAATTTAATTAAAAAAATTCCCAAGTTAGAAGGTCAAAAAATTTATAAAAGCAATTTTTGAAAAAAATTTTCAAGTGTTAGTAATTATTTTAGCCCTTTTAAAATTAATACAATTTATCAAACTATTAAATTTTATTTAATTTCTAAAACGATTTTCTTAAAAAAAAAAAATCTCCATTTACCTGTTAAATCTTTTCAGTAAATCATTTAATGCGTTTGAAGGTACAATAATTTTGAGAATTACTTCATCCTCTGTGTACACAGTACTTATAAGTATTCCTTCTTGTCACTGTTCAAAAATTCCATAGTGATTACACTACAATACGTTCAATAAGACTATTGTAGTTAGTACTTGCTAGTCAGTTGTAACAAGTCCTTTCTTCAAGACACTCCTCAAATTATTAATTGCTGTAGTACTTAAAAATAAAATTATAAAATCATTTTCAGTTTATAAAATCAGATAATTTAATAAATTACCAATTATTGAAGATGTTTCGCGATATAAAATCAGTAAACGCGCCTCAAAATAGGACTTTATCAGTTTCAAAATCGAGTGACAAAGAAAACTCTGAATCAGTTGCCCTTCAGCAAAGAAAATCACTTGGAGCAATACCCAAGCAGTTTAATCAAACTTCTGTTAAAAAAGCGCGTCCGCGATTAGTCAGCATCGAAAATATAACTGAAAAATTTCGTATAAAAAATTTTGTAGCAACTCAGGATGTGGAAAATTTCTCTCCTACGCTAGAAGCAGCCGGAATATTTCAAGATTCGCGTTTCACCGTATACAATGTTGAAAAAGGAACTACGGTAATAAGAAGCAAGCTAGAGAAGAAATTCAAACCAACTGCCGTGAAAAATGATTTAAAAGTTGAATTTGATGACAAAAAACTTGAAGACAAAACTGGTGATTTGGTTGGAGTTAGAAGCGAGAAGAAGAGTCCCAAGTTTTCATTGCCGAAGATAGTTCAGATCAAAGAACCAGATACTATTTTCCCGGAGGTTTTCGATGAAGGAGATTTGGCTGCAGGTTACAGCTTTCAGAAAACTCCCGCGAAATTCCCGCCGAAAGTCGATGATTTGTCGCAAAAAAGTAAGTTCAAGGTTGTTAAACACTTTTTCTCCGATGTCCAGCAGAACGGAAGTTCTGAAAAAGTCAAGAAAGTTTTGAAACGGCGCATGTCTGGAAAAATGTTGGAAAATCTGGCGCATTTTGAAGTTGATGGTGAAAAGGGAGTGAAGAATACGGTGAAAAGTACTGTTGTTATTTTGCCCGTCAAGCGAATCCAGGAATTAAAGGATCAGGATAAAAAACTAAAAGAAACTCCAGAGGATACCAAGGGATTTTTGCCACCTCTGCAGAATGTAAGATTTTATTTTTAATTTACTACAAATTTATTGAAATCGGCAGACCTCTGACTATTTTTAACTTTACAAGTGGAAATTTTAAAAAATTATGAATGCAATTTTGAGTTTGAAATTTTAAAAGTTATAATTTGTTTAATCTAAAAATAATTATTCTCAAAAAAAAATTTTTTTATCCAAAACTAATTACTTTATATTTATTAAAATTTTTTTAATTTAAAATCAGAATTTTATTTTGATACTAAAAACAAATTGCACTTGTAGTTTTTTTATGATACTGAAATTTCGAGACATTTGATAATTTTAAGAATTTTTCTAGCAAATAAATTATAGCAAGAAAAATTTATTTAAAAAATTCCATCTTTAGAAGCTTTAAAAAATTATAAATGCAATTTTTTGAATAATTTTCTAGACTTAGTTTATTTTTCAAGAAAATATTGATAATAATTATCTTCTTACTGTTTTGTTATTGTTACAGGTAAAAAAAGTGAGATGTGAGGTTTCAAACAATATAACAATTAAAAAAAAGGTATGCAATCCTTTTTTCTACGGTAAGGATTCCATAGAATACGTCAAAGACCATCTTAAATTTTTCGAGGAAAAAGAATGTAATCGTCAATCAATTTCGTCCCCTACCCGGCGATTAAACATTTCATCGACTCAACGCCAGATCCTTGTAAAAAATTTGATAAATATCAACGTAAGTATACATATATTCACCTGAATTTTATTTTGTTCATATTTAAGAACATTGTTTTAATATTTTTATTTTTTTTAGAAACAGTTTAATTATCCAGGATTCCTTACCTACAATGCAGTTCGCCTATTGGATGATGTATTGTCACTTTCGCCAAATGTTCCAGTGGAAATGTTACAGTTAATTCAACTCACTTCGCTGTGGATCGTATTGAAAAAAGATCACATTTTTCATCGTGTTCCTCTGGTATTTATTATTTTAAATATTTCATTAAAATTAATTTAGCAGATAATTTATAATTTTAGGAATTTTTATAAAAAATAAACTACAGCAAAAAAAATTGAAAAAAAAAATTGACATTCAGAAATTTGAAAAAATAAAAAATGCAATTTTGCAAAAATAATTTTTCAAATAAAATTTGTTTAGTAAAAAAAATTTTAAAAATGATGAAGACACTTAATGTCATAAATATTTTTAATCAATTTTTCAGCATCAATTATATGACTTGAAACAAAATTTCTTCAAAGAAGAAATATATTATTTTTTTCCTTACTAGATAAGTGATTTTAAATAATTAAATTTATTGTTTAATGAGTTAAAAAACATATTTACATATTACAGAGTGAGAACATAGCTCAGTTGTCAAGTAGAGCATATAGTAAAAATGAGATTGTTCAATGTGAGCGTCAAATTTTAAAACTCCTAAATTTTGAAATATCTTATACGGATGTAGCATCAACAGTGAATCTCTGCATTGTGTCGGATCCCAAACTCGGCAACATCAATTTCGATGATATTTATTTAATGTACTATTTCTCGGGCTATATGGTAATCTATTTTTATTATATATTACTATTATTATTATTATTATTAATATAATCCTGAAATTAGCAGACATTTGACAATTCTTAAAATTGTTTTGACAAATCAATGATTATAAAAAATATGTTTTGAAAAATTCGCATTTGTAAATTTATAAAATTTTTACATGTGGAATTTTTTTTTATTATAATTTGACTGTTAAAAAAATTGTTAGATGTCTGTTAAATTCAGTATCATCAAAAAAAATTTAATATCAGTTATCATAAAACTGAAATTAATAGACATCAAACTTTAAAAATTTTTAAAACAATTAAATCATTTTGTAAAAGTATAGTAAAAAATTCTACATATAGAAATTAAAAAAATTTACAGGTTCAAATTATTCTTTTTATCATAATTAATTTTTAAAAAATTTGTGGGGTATCTGTTGATTTTAGTATCATTAAATTATCAAGTAAATTTTGATACAGCAGTGATACCAAGATACTTTATTTTCCAGATCGATGTCTCGTTGTTCGATGAGGAGTTAATGAAAGAGTCTGCAATGTTACTGGCATCGACAATCGCCGAATTGTCAGTAGTGATGAATATGTCTAAGATTACATCAATCGCAGATATTTCAACTGATGATTGGACACCTAGTTATGGAAAATGGTCAGTATTCATCTTTGTTTTATATTATTTAATGAACTAAGTACCGAATAATGCTATCTTATCACTTGGTTAAAATTTTCAAGCAATAAAATGTGCTAAATTAAAAAAAAAAAAATAACATGATAGATTTACACCTTTGTTGTAAATTTTTTTAGAGTTTTGTTTTATAGTCATAATAAATAATTTAATATTTTATATGTTGAATAGCTTCCCGGAAAAGGATAGAGTACGTGTTCGCTCCTTGATCATACGCCAAATATTGAAGTCCTTCGAGCCAGGCACCACGGAACATATTGTTTACTTGAAGTACAAGAGGTCTCGTTACGGGGCAGTATCAAAATTCATAATCTTGAAATTAGAGAACTTAGTATGATTGAAATTTTTTAATCAATTTTATTAGTGCAAATATTATTTGCAAGTCATCAGTTTTCTAAATTTCATTATCAAGTATTAGATTAACAAATCAGTTCAATTTTTTAATATGTATTGATGATAACTTTTGGCTGATAACATTTGTTGATATTTATTAATTTGTCATACCAATTAAGAATAATTTTAATATTTATAACTAAAATTATTACTAAGTTTTATAAGTGAAAAAATATTTTTATTTTTACAAAAAATTAAAAATTTATTATTATTAAGTAAGGTATGCTGATAAGAGAAATAGTTTATAAATTTTTCTTATCAGAGAAAATTATTTAATAATTTTTGTACTGAGGAATGAGTTTATTATTAGAAAGTACCATGATAATTATTTATGGGAAAAAGGTGATTCGAGTATTATATAATTACTTTTATTTTAAAAACTAAAAATTATACAACAATTTTGTAAAATTCGTATTAAAAAACATTAAAAAGAAAACACGTTTATCCAGTAAATAATTAAGTTTTCTTTATTAAAAATTACTTATAGAAATATACTTAAATTAAATAGCTCCAAAAGTTTGTTCCGTAGAAGCCCATTGGTCCCAGTGATCCCAGGAGCTGTCAACAGAGACGAGCCCGATGGCGTCATCTTTGAATAGGATATTTTTGTGGCCGCCCCAAGCACCAAAAAGTTGAAGAAGATCTGGTCGCTTTGAGTACAAACTGGTAGCAGTAAGAACACCATGAGTCAGTTCCTCCAAGACGTTGTCAGATTTGCCCGAGTGACTGACAATAACTCGCGGTGGTTCGTATCCTAAATTACAGTCTTGGTATTTGTCAATTGAAGATACTCCTCCGTTTGGACAAAGTAGCATCAAGTCGGAGATTTTGATATCTGAAGTATTATCATGTTCTAAAAAAATTTCAATCAAATTAAAAAATTTAATACAATAACAATTACGAGTATTTACAATTAGTTATTAATAATGATATTTAATATAATTTTAAAATAAATGCTCACTTATTTTTTCTAATACTGTATAAGGAACAAAGGCAACGTCTCCATGGCCGCTTGTCAAGCATCTAGAAGTTTAAATATTGACATTTAATTACTTGTTAATTAGAGTGTGACTGATAAGGTACGAGAAAATGACAATAAATTGCTATTAAATTAATAACGTACGAGAGAGCTCCTTTACTGCCACTAAAATCTTCCGCTTGGGTAGGCTGACATCTAGTCGCTTCTTTGGTCTGATCGTCTTGGGACTCCATGTCTCCGACGCACTGCTGACAAAGAGGTGACGTCTTAGAAGCACCTGGTGCACAAGATCCGCCAAAGAACTCCCCGAGTCCTTCCTCTGAGGTTATTAGACCGGCTTTTTTTAATACTTGGACTGGCGCCAACCACCCGGCGAAATCGCTCTTATAAAATGTGTGACATGATTTTTTGTCTTTCAGATCAGCTGTGGTTGAAGAAAATTATTATTAAATTGGGAATAAATATAATTAACTAAAATTATTTAGAAAATAGATAAATTATAAATACCTAATTTATTAATTGAACTATCTTTCTTAACAACAGCAACTGCTGGACGTTCACTGAATTTAGTTGAACCATTTCCATAGTTTTCTGCAATTATTGGCTTGACATTAAATTCTTCAATGGCTTTTTTTACAACGCCACCAGTCAAGATAACTAAATCAGCCCCTTCATCCCTCAGAGTTTTCAAACATGCTTCTTGATCTTTTTCAAGTACGCAATCTAATCTCGGTCTTGCATCTCTGTAAAATTAAACAATTAAAAATTTTCCATATAATTATTATCATAAATTGAAAATCATACTGACCTAGAATGAGCAGCCTTAGCAAGTGCGTGACATTTAGCCAAACTTTCGTCACTCCATACACACCAACGCGCGTCTCTTTCAGGAGCTCCAGAATTTCTTTCAATAACATCCAAGTATTTAGAGTTTTCTAAATGTTGTTCCGGGCTTATTTTATCTGAAATAATGGGAATTGTTTTTTCGTCGAGCAACAACAAGTCTTTCCACCAATCAGCTTTTTCTTCTTCACCCAAAGTTCCTAGTTTTTCAATTTCCTAGAAAGTGTAAAGTAGAAAAATGAACAATCGTCCAATATAACTAAAAAAAAAACTGTTAATTCTTTTTTAAATAAAACCACTTCTACAAAATAAAATTAATTTTAAACTTTAAGGTAGAAAAAATCAAACAAAATTTATAAAATTAGAATCAAACAATTTTTTAGATTATTATAACTTATAACAATATTATTATTATGAAAAATTTCTTGATTTAAAAAATAAAAATACCTTTTGCACTGAAGTAATGTCACTGACTTGTCCATTAGTCATGTATCCTTGCCAAGGTCTGGCAGCCCAAGTGCACGGTTTGGTGTGAGCATCAATAGGCACCTTGGTGCCGTCAGGACAGAAGTATGCGAAGTCGCTTGGATTTTCATTTGTTGGAACTGCTGGAGACTTACCAACTGGCAGACCGAAGAATCGCTTTACATAAATAACCTTGGTGAACGCCACCTGACCGCCATTGTGGGCCAAACAACGTAACGCGCCCTCGTATCCAGAATATTTATCCGGGTAGTCGCATTTTACTGGATCTTCACACAGCTCGCACATATTGCTGTATTTTTCCTCTAATTAAAATGTAATTAAATTAATTTAATTTAATGGGTTACAATTAAAAAAATCAGAAACTTACTCAATTTTTTGTTAATTGCAGGGTCCGGTGACCATTTTCCGACGAGACAGCCTCTGCTGAACAGAGTTGAGAGAGCACGAATCTCATTTTCTCGGGCCGAGTACTCTGGGTCATTAATGTTAGCCAGTACGCCCATTGCTGTTAATTTAGTTATCGGAATTTTGTAACCCACATTTCGGCCGACCCCAGTGTGACAGGAGTTTAATCCTCGGAAGCTTTGAGGGTCAAATATTTCGAGGTCCTTATGGATAACTGCTACTGCTTCATATCTGTATGGTTCATCTGGTTCTTCTTTTGTACGGATCTAAAACCATTTAGATGAAATTGATAAAAAAAAAATTAATTATTTCCTTGGAAAATTATTTAAAGATTTCTTTGCTAAGTTTTTTTTTATTTATTTATTATTATTATTGTTTAGAATTTGAATAAAAATTACCTGTTCAATAACATTATATCCAGGATCAGATGCAAAGTTATTCTTAGCTGCAAGATACATGTCTTCAGGATCGACCGCAACTACGTCAGCTTCTTTTTTACCAACTTTTTCCACACAGTCGTATCTATCACGTCCAGTAATACAAGAAACGGGGATTCCCTTGGCTGCTGAGTCCTTCATCATATTTACACAGTCTTTCCAATAAATTTCTGGTACGCACATTGTAACTATTTTTTTTTTTAAATAAAAATAAATTATTTAAAAAAATTGATAGAAAATATACAACAATAGGTATTTTAGTTTATAAATAAAATCACAAATTATTATGTAAAAAAAATAAAAACGTAAGTTTTGTGAAATTGTCTTCACTTGAAGAAATATCAAATTGTCGTACATTAAATTATTTATGAAAAAATTTGCGGATATAGTTATTAACTATTGAGTGATATTGAATCAAAAAATTCTAATATAGTTTAAACAAAAATTAATTTTTTACAACTTACAGACAGGAGCTGTGGTATCACCATGTACGCTTGCGAAAAATCCCAAAAGGGCAACAAAAGTGATGCCCATTCTCCCCATTTTTAGCACGAAGTAAAAGTTATTTTCAAGCTTACTAATCCGACTCCTTTGCAGGATCTTCTCAGATGTGGATCCGCGGTCCTTTTATATCTGCTGCAGCCGCGAAACTGAGTAGTGGGAGACAAAACAAAGATTAACATTTCTGTTGCCAGCATTCCCACGCTTGTTTTCATATTTATAATCTGTAATCGTGTATTTTATTACATGTCAACTGATCAAAGTCGGGAATTCCCGGTATTATTTTTACTTTAATTATCAGAGTACATTTTTAGCTTAATTAAGTTCAATTATAGTATTTTTTAATTGCCAAAATTAAATTTAGCTTTTTTTTATTTTCATTCAAATTATCTATTGGAATTGTGTCAAAATTTCAATAAAAACTTACAAGCTTGGAAGAAAATAAAATGAATTAAAAAATTTATTTTGAAAATAAAATTTTTTTAATTAAAATCTGTTTTTTTTTTTTTTTTAGTTGTATCTTTTCTTGTAAATTATACAATATTGCTACAACAAAAAAAAATGTATTCAAAAACGTGAGTTAGTAATTTACAAATCAAAATAAATCCAATAAAAAGCGTATAAATTATTCTTGATATATAATATGATAATTGTATTTATTAAAATCCTGTCTGTAAAAAAAAAAAAAAATCAGATATAATTCCTTTAATTTTCTTGTCCTTATTAATTTTTAACAGAAGCTATGCTTAAAATACTTACTAATAGAGTAATAGAACAAAAAAATAAAACAATAATACGACAAAGAGGAAAAATGAAGAAGATTAAAATAAAAATGTGATACATCAGCAAAACGATAACCTAGAGATCGACATTACTACTTAAAAGAATTAAATTTCTTCATGATAACATTATACTCAAAGTTACATAATAGTGTAACATTTACATTTTCCTTATAGATTATAAAAATTAACATTACAATAAATAATGGTAATCATTTTTTCCTCAATCTCAGAGTGGGATAGGTTTTCAATCTAAGAATCTCGAGCTGTGATCTTAGCGTCAATAAATCGTCATAATTATTCTGCACTCTAGTAATCAGCCGATTTTTTTTCATGATAGCCTTCAATTTAACCCTCTGGTGCTTAAAATCTTTAACTCTAGCGTCTTCGTTGCAGTGGATCGTTAATTTGCAGGTAGCTAGCTTTATCTCCTGGATCTTATTGTTTACGGAGGTGTTGAGCTTCTGCCAGTTATCGAGCTGGCTCTTAATTTCGATCAGCTTTGTTTTTTTCCCCTCTAGTATTCTGGTGAAATGCTGAAACGAGTTTCGCAGATATAACAACCCAAATTGTCCTTGAGACATTGAGACTCGCGCTTGACTTGCTTTTAAATAAAATACAAACAAAAATTTTATAATACGAGAATAAAATACATTGTCAATGTATCTCTCCTCTATAAAGGAAAAGGAAACAAAAGTATAAACAAGAGATGAAGGTATAAATAAAAATATAAATATAAATATACATGTATACGTATATTGCCGATGAATGTTTTTTGTTTCTAGTTTACCTTCTTGGTAGACATGACGCTTCTCTCCCAGATATCGACGTCCTTCTCTGACCCAGGAATATGTAAATGACGCATCAGATACTTTTGTATTTCTTTCGTGACCTGAAAATTTTTTTTATTCTATTGTTATATACTATTATTATTATTATTATTATTATTTTTTTTTAGTTTTGAAAATTACTTATTTAGATTTTGAAAAAAAAAAAAAAAAAACCCAAATTATAGAAATTGTTAAAATTTGGTGTAATTATGTACTTATTACTTTGTATTTAAATAATTTATTGTTTTATATTAATATATAACAATGATAAGAAGTAAAAAAAAAAAAAAAAAAAAAATGATTATTATTAAGCAAAGATTGAAATTAAAAAGAAGAAAATTAATGACTTAAAAAAATTTTATGATAAATAAAAGTGTTAACTTTCTCTGGTGTATCCAATAATTTCCACCCGCAATAAAATAAAATAAGACTCTTATTTTTAACCACTTTGAGTTAAAAAAATATAAACCTTAACATCTTGAAGAACTCTTAACTCTTCCTTCATATCTTGTAGCGTCATCTTGAGGCAGCTATGACACCACTCCTTCCAATTAATAGTTTTGCGAAAAACAATGGTCTGGTTCATGGCTCCAAGTTTGTTACGCCCGGCCTCAACGATTGCCGTATTAACTTTAAGCACCTCGTCAAAAGAAACGAGCACCGAGTTTTTAAATTCTCTCGGATGGCCACACAAATTGGTTTCTATCTGGCCCATTTGCAGGACCAATTGCACCTCCATATCCCTCATAACATCCTCGTTTTTTTTCTTTCCACTCTCCATCATGTCTCTCAATTGCGCCATCCGATTTTGCGAGCCCGCTATTGCTTTCTGGTGGGCATTCAACGTTTGTTCCGCTTCTGCCAGCTCTACTGCGCAACTTTTTAGCTTGTAGATTAAAAATAAAAATTAGCTATAAATATTTAAAAAGACAAAAATGACAAACCGGTTTACCGACAACAGCAACAAAAACTTACCCTAATTTCGATCTCAATTTTATTTCTCCTTAATTTGCATAGCAGAAACCAATGATTGCTGTCTATTTGACTGGGCAAACTGGTCGGCATGATGTCAAGAGTGTTGACGCCTTTCAAGAAATCCAAGCAGTCGCGCGGTAGAATATCCGATTTGTCTCCAGTCAAAATGCACCGGGACAATTCCGACAAATACGTAATAGAAGTACAGAGAAATTGTCCATTTCTTGGCCGCTTTTTGTAGTGCCTCAACAAATGCTCAACCATAGGCTGTTTTAAGTCCGGAAATTCCCCTCGGAATTTCGACTCCAGCAATTTTTCACGCTTGCTCAAATTTTCGTAGCGCAGCTTTGTTTCATTCAAGACCAACTCCAGCTGCAAAAACTCCTCGGTCTGACTTTTAAATTCTTTGGACGCTGCTAGAGACTCGTTTTCTAGGTCATTTAACTCTTTTATGCCCTGTAAACGCAATTGGTGCCTCCGTAATTCCCGCTGTTTCATCAGATTTTCTTGAAGCACCGCTGATTCGATTTTTATGCGCTCGAGGAATAAATTTTCTAGCTTTTCGTCAAAAGATTTCACTCCTTTTTTCAGTAAATCTATCCAAAAATTTAACATTAATTTAATTCTTTTACAAATTATAATTTTAATCATGTAATTAAATGTTTTACCTTGAAGAGAAACAATTTCGTCTTGTAGAATTTTTTTGTACTTCAATCTTTCGTTGTTTAAAATTTTGACATCTTCTTCGTATTTTTTTATTATAAGTAAATCTTCCTCTGAATAATCACTTGGATTTTTTGATAAACATTTTGGCTTGATAATATCTTTTTTTATATCATCTTCCCATCTGAAATCAAATTAATTATTGTTTTAAAATTAATTAAAATAGAAAATTATTAAAGAAAAAACATTAAAAAAATTATTGCTTAGAACAAATCAACCGGAAAGTTTTTTTTTTTTTTTATTTACTTAAAAAGTATCTAGTGTAACATAAGAACTTTCTGACACATGGTGTCCAGATTTTCCGTCAATTCTCTCTCACTCTACTTTGCCCTCTCAAGCCCAGAATTTTACTACTCTATCCTGATCCTTATTTTTTCGGTGAGAAAAAAAATTCTCTTGAAATAACTTTTTTTACTCAGTCTGTCTTGATCCCTTCAAATGACTCATGTGATTTTTCTTCCTTAAATATTTTCAAGTAAGTATTGAGATAATTATCAATTTAAAAAAAATTTTTTTCAATTACTGACTCATTTTTTGTAAATGTTGTTATTATCCGAGTGTTTGAAAATTTAATTTATTTTTTTTACAGATAAAAATAAAATGTCATATCAATTGTATAGAAATACAACGATAGGAAACGCTCTACAAGACACTCTCGACATATTGGTGTTATCCGAACAACTTACGAATGAACAAGCGTCTAAAATTATGCTTCAGTTCGACAAAAGTATCAATCGCGTATTATCGACCAGAAACAGGTCCTACGTCTCATTTAAAGCTGGAAAATTGGGTTATTACAGATTCTGTGACAATGTCTGGACATTTAAACTGAAAGATGTTGAGTTCAGAGGAACTGATGAAGAAGCAACTTTTTATTGCGTTAAAATTGTCGCCTGCGATGGTAAAAAGCCGGAAAATATTTATACAGATAATGAAAAATTCTAAAAAAATTTTATGTAGTTTTATGATACTTAATAATGTATATTAATGATTATTGCATACTTTCAGTTGTAATTTATGGAACAAATATTGAAAATAAAATACTATGTTCTACGAATTCTTGTTATTTTTTTTTTAGCAATAAATTTATGATAATATTTTAGTCATGTTTAAATTGTGAAAGATCGTTCTAAAAAAATATTGTAAGATTAACTAGTGTTTTACTGTTTATTTATTACTTACTCCTAATGTGTTATAAGAAAAAATAATTTTGTAAGATATTGAAAAATTAGTAATAATATTTTCTGTATTACATTATTATTATTTAAAAAAAACTACTAAATAATTAATAAACAAACATACCTAACTTCAAGAACTCCACCCATCATTTCCATCAAAGCTTTTTCCCGAAACAAAGAGACCTGATCTTCAGCCGACCGTAAATTATCCTGATTTTCATGAGGTACGTTTATTGAATAAGATATTAACTTATAAACTTCCTTATCGTTAACCTTGACAATTGTATGAGGTTTCTCGGAGTCGCTTAATTCAAGGTGTAACCACGTGTAATCAGTTGAAAATTCTACGTTGAACATCGTTTTCAACTCAGATGAGCAATGCTCCATTCTAGCAATGCGATCCTTTGTTGTTTTTATTTCTTGGGACTTGAGCTGCTGCATTCTAGTAAATAAATCATTGAAAAAGAGCTGCGAAGAAATGTTTAATAATTGAATTAATTATACAAAAATTTTTAATAATAAAAAAAATATTATAAAACCTTCAACTTCTCTTCGCGAATCTTGATTAAAATTCTCAGTCTAGTTCCCTCAGTATAACTTCCATTGCGATGAATTTGATTAACTCCAGGAAACAAATTTATCCATCGATGAAACGTGGTTCCACTCATGGAAAATAATTCTTCTTTGTTAACAGCAGGTCTTTCTTCATTCTTGACAGCAGTTGATTGATATAATTCTGCGTCAATACTGAAAATTTGTCAAAAATTTAATTTCAAACATAAAAACATTTGATCATTTAATATTTCAATTTAATAATAATAATAAGTAACTAAAAAAAAAAAATAAACCTTGTCATACGAGTTGCTAAGTCGACGGAAAATTTGTCCCAACTTCTCTGCTGCAACTCGTCGGAAGAAACCGCGGGAAGCGCGTAATTATCCACTCGAATTTTTCCATCTAAAGAAATTAAAGAGCAAGCTGGAACGAGCATTGAATCCCAGCACATTTTACGTAAATATTCCATCATTTTAACTTGCGCAGAAATTTTCTCTCCAATAGTTTTCTCTAATTCCTCTTGATCTAATTTGTTCCGCGTAATTTGTTTGAGGCGCGCTTGAGTATTTAAATCGAAAGTTTCGGTGGATAATTTTTTATCTTCAGTTTCTTTTTCATTTTCATCCAGGAGGTTTTTCAGCTAAAATATTTTTATAATTATTCAAAGGAAGCAATAATATTAATTTTTTTAAATTATTCTAAATTAAAAAAAAATTTTAATTACTAATTTGTCAGAACAATTAATAAATTTTTTTTTATTAGTTTATAAGTTTTGAAAAAATTAAACAAAAGTAGAAAATATATTTTTTGTTCAATACTCTATAATATACATTACTTTTATTTTAAGTTTATTGACATCGGATAATAATTCAGTGCGTTTGGCAATCGAGGAATCTTTCTCAGCATTTAATTTCTGTATTTGTATCCATTCGAGCCAAGGTAACTCCGATTCAATGTCAAGATCGCTTGAAGTTGTTTCAGAGAGAATTTTAAAGGCGTTCAGAAAGTTTATGTCACGTTCGTTCAAGTCCAGTTGATTCACTGCTGATAATTGGCTGAAAGATTAAATCGATATCAATTAAAAAAATTTAAAGAATAAAAATTTTCCCCGGCTCATAATAAATTTTAATAAAAAATAAATTTAATAAAATCAAATTATCAAAAGAAAATTTATTATTGTTAATAAAAAAATGAGAACGTGAAAGTTTTTATAGTTAAGGTAGTTGATTCGCAAAATTCATAATTATGGAAAATTATGAAATTTTTTTTTATTAAAAGATAAATACATCAATAGCTCACCACAAAAATTTCAGATCGATTCACGCCACCGCTTGTGAGTAATTAATTTTTGAAATTGGTTCTTTTACACATAAAGGTATGGAGATCCGATAAAGTTGGTGTGAAATTTTTCGTACCGCACGAGTGATGCCACTAAATTTTCATAATTATGAATTTTGCGAACCAATTATACCGTAAAAGCATAAATAGATAATAAATTACCTTATTTTAGTAGCAATAATATTCCCATTTTTTCCCAAACAAATAATAATATTACTCGCCATACACACAATTGCAAATTTTACGCCTCCATCATGTCGATGGTGCGAAGCAAACATACCCGTCAATTGATAAATATTCGCTCTATTACGCATTACTAAAATCCCATCAGCTCCGTACGTCAAAGTAATTGATGAATCCGAGTTGATATTAACGTCTCTCAACTGATGTGACGAGTTAATACACTCCGTCAGGCGTATTGATTTTAAATTATTCTATTAAAAGAAAATCAATCAACCGTTAACCCCCCGGGTCAAAAAATTTAGTCTGTTTTATGATTAATAAAATTTTTTAATATTTTTCATTCAATTTAATTTTATTATGTGTATCTATTTTATATGAGAATTTAATTTGTTTTTGCCCGTACTATTCACAATTCAGACCATTTTTAATGTTATAATAAAATTGTTTTCTATTGTTTCAAGACCAAAATCAGACTTTTTTTGTCACAATCATTTAGCTGGTTTTGATCGCATCAAGGTCAAAAACAGACCAAAACGTTCTATAATTATTAGTCGGTTTTTCATCGCCTGTAGATCAAAAAACCGACCTTTTACGAATTTAATAATAATAATAATAATAATAATATATTTATTTATTATTATTTTATTCATGTCCTCGAAGTGCCTCTACAGGGCACGGCTTTTCATTCTCTGAAACTGAAATAGTGACCATTCACTATTTCGTAGTGCAATGTATACCAAACGGTATTCTTCGCACTACCAAATAGTGAATACCGCTCATTAAATGATGCGTGAAAGTATAAAATTTAACATTAATCTTGTCAACATTTTAATCTTGTCTCGATGTATTCACATTGTGTTTATTAACGATAATTAGAAAACTCTAGATTTAGATTCATAATCAAACGATGAGAACTATTTTATAAATGTATATTAATACAAATTTATTAGTTATCACTGCAACTAATATTCGCAGTTACAAAACTTTTATAATCCATGAAATGTTGAGCTATGACAAATAAATATGACAGATGTAGGGTTATAATCGACGTTCAGTTCATAAAACAAGAGAGCGCATAATTTTTAATGAGATACTTTTAAGTCCAAAAAATTATGTCACCATCTTAGTCGACTTTTGGCCTTCGAACATTTAGAGTGAAAATTGTAGATCAAAAACAGTATAAGATTTCATATTGAATTTGAAAACAATACATAAAGTCCATCTACAAATTAACTAGACTAAAAACCGATCAAACTTTTAAAACTTTTTAGTTTCATTAGATTAGAAACAGCATAAAATATTCATAGCTGCTCAATTATTTTACTAAAAAGTTATTTAGACTTAAAACAGATCAAAAATAATGTGAATAGTAGATCAAATACAGATGAAAATATTTTTAAAAGTTCAAATACAGATCAATAAGTTCAAATGCAGATCATTTAGCTTAAAATCAGTTTAAATTTTTCGACCCGGGGTCTCAAACTTTAAATGTAATAAACTACCAAATTATGTATAGGTACCTCTAGCTTCATATCAACCAAGTGCTTGCTCAAATATGGACTCGCGATAATTTCGTTAATATCCGATCCGTAATTTAGATTTTTGAATGCAAAGGGCAGTTCTATTACTCTCTCAACGATTCCCAAAGTTTCAAACATTGATTTCTTCTCTATCACGTAGATAACGACACTTTTGCCGATATTAATTTCAGCATGGCCTTTTGTTAATATCAGCAATTTCAGGCGATTGTCATCATTTTCGTGGATCAAAAAATCGGCAATCTAAAAGAGAAGACATTTATTAGTAATTTTTCAATGAAATTTGCATTTATAGTACCTGGTATTGAATTTTCAGAGTCGTCCAAACATTTATTTTAAATGTGTCGAAATGATTAATAAAAAATAACTGCCCATTACTTTTATTAGCGACGGCAAGTACTCGGGCGTCGAATGATAATTTGATTTTATCTAAAAGTGGTGCTCTTGTTAAAAACAACGATTTTATGGTAATTGGCGCGAGTACATCGATAATGCTGGTGATATTACAGAACCCATTGGCTGTTGTTGTGATGATTAATGGTACAAAAGGATGAGCGATCGCGTTGAGAACTAAAAATGACAAAAATTATAATTGATTTATAGATTTTGGAAGAAAAATCTAAAAGAACACTTGAAAGTGTTGATACCTTTTCCATAAGATTCTAAAGAAATTGAGGACGTTAAATTTCCAGAATCACTTTCAATAATAACGAGACGATTAAAATCGTCGAGAGCAGCACAATGCCTTCCATTAGGATTGATGGGCATTAAAAATGAATAGGTGGAGCCTTGATGGCAGACCATTTGCATTCGTGGGACATCATCATCCCCGACACTTACTTCCACTATTTCCCCCGCTTCAGTATGGAATAAAAGACTGTCGCGATGTGGATTGCGAGTCATGAATAGTGGTTGTGATTGCGTTTCTAGCTCCCATATTGGCTTCCATAGGGTGAAATGCTTGCTGTGTTCTGATGATTTTCTGTAAAACTGATGGTTTGTTAATCATTTGCTTATACAACTAAAATTCATATTATAAATTATCTATATTTGTAATTCAAAAAATTTTTCGATAAAAATTTTCTATTTTAATATTTTTTTACAATATTATACTATGTAGCACGAAAACATCAAAAAACTATATCTATCATGGACCCAAAAACAGAATATCAAACCTAGTCAATAAACATAGCTCAGACATCGATTTCTTCATGGACTCAATCTCAAGTTTCACCTCCAAAGTCAAGAAATTAATATTAACGAGCTAGCACTTATTATTATTATTATTATTATTATTATTATTATTATTATTATTATTATTATTATTATTATTATTATTATTATTATTATTATTTTATTTAATAGCCATCAAATCATTAAATTTAAATCATTCAAATCATTAAATTAAACCATTAAATCATTAAATTTAATAGCCATCAAATTATTAATAATAATTTATGTACATTGCCGATTAGCGTTTATTCTAATAAATAAATAAATAAATATTATTTTGATAAAAATTGTAATAATAGGCCAATTTAAAGAGATAATGAAGATGATAATGACTATTGTGTGTGATAATATGATAATGATCTATGAAACAGAATCTTTCAATGTAATTTTCACTAACTTCAATATATCAGATTAATTTAAAAATTGACACTCATCAAAACATATTAAACCAAAATTTTCTTTTTCATAATCCAAAAATCTCAGCAGTCGCATAGTGACTGCAGGTTGCTAATATATAATAATGGCAATATATTCTATGCTGATGCTACTATAATAAATAAACAATGTTACCTTTATTTTTAACCGTGAATTAACAACCGCAACTCCACACCGAAAATCAACAATTAACGGTTCAGAAAGCATCGGTACCTCCAATACGGATTCAACAACTTTATATCGTCGTTTTCCGTCGCTAAAAATCAAATACACGTTGCCTAAATCATCAGCAATCAGCAAATTTCCATCAAAAGTCCAAGAAGACGCAGCAATTTTCTCAGAAGCATTAAAATTTGTATTAATCGCTGATGATGTGAGTAATATTATCTTCGAGCATACATTGACTTCATACACTTTTATTCTTCCGCTTTCTCCTCGTTGAGTCAAAAATATTGGCAACGTCATCGAACATCTGTATGCATTTATTTCAGATACAAGACTTAATATATTGATCTATAATTTGTATTTTATAACAAAGCTATAAACTCAATAATTAATTACGAAATTTGTTGATTAATATCGCTAATATCTGTGTCGATGATTCTTAAATTCTCTCCAGTCCTCCAAAGCCAAACTATTAATTGAAATGAAGGATAAGAATTCAAAATTACTAAGTAATCACTGCCTACAAATATACAAGAAAGACAGAAGTTCCTCTGGCCATGTTTTTTATGAACACACGTAGATATTTTTTCAATTTCTGGGTAAGTAAAGATAGCTATCTTTGGATTTGAGCATCTTTCAGCGATTGCGAATATTGGCACCATCTATTTAACAGAAAATGAATAATTTTATTTTTAAAAGAATTAAGAACAATAAAATACTCGCTTGAAAAATTTTTTAGTCAAGATGTAGGGGAGGGGGGGGGCAAAATGGGGTACTTAAGCAATCGTTATGATTTTAAGGACTTAAATACGCTGATTTTTCTCGTTTTCAGTCGTAATTAAAGGAAAATAATCAAATTTCAAGTTACCGTAGAAAAAAAATTTTTTTTTTTTTACGGGCAAAATGGGGTACTCCCTGAAAGAGTGAAAAAAAAATTTCTTCATCCAAAAATGAAATATCGTTAAAAAAATAACATTTTCTTATCGATAAGTCTACGAAAGAACCCAAAGAGAGGAACAAATCACCCAAAAAAGAGACATTGTTAGTTGAAGCAATATATTCCTAACAAAAATTGAGGTAGTAAAAAAAATTTTAAAACTTTGTCGTAATTTTTGACAGGTTTCGCTTGAGTAAAAATAATATCAAAATAAAAAAAAAAAAGATCTCTTGAGAAAATTCTAGTATTTGAAACTCCCGATGAAAAAAATTTTAGACTCATAGTTCTCACACAATTCAAAGTAATAGCACGAAAAAAAAAAGATTCGTAATTTTTTTGCACTCTCTTTCTTGGTTTAGGGATTCAGAAAAATTTTTTCAAGTTGAATAATCTTGTAGACCTGAAGATTTTACTTTTTAAATTAAATATCTCACAAACGCACCAAATGATTTTGAAGCAATTAGCGGCCTCTGACTCAGTTTTCTGAGCATTCAGTTAAATTATGTCATCAAAAATAATTCAAGAATAAATTTGATGTTATTTGAAAAAGACACTTTTTTAAAATAATTAGTGTAAGATTTCTTTTCAACACATCGCCCGATTTTGATGCAGTTTGCAGCTGTCAACGTCGTTTTTTAAATTAAAGAACTGTTCAGATTTTGGAATTGATTGTTACATCTGTTTAAAAGCTGTTAAAAGAAAAAAGTTATTTTAAATTTATGAGGAAGTCTAAGTTTCGCTAAACTTTATCGAATAACGCGATTGTCATTCAAATCAGTGGAATTGCACAAAAGTTATGAGAGATTTACACACTGATAGTAATTTTAACTAGACTCAAGAGTAAAAATCTTGAACCAAGAACACCAATTGAAAGAAAATGAATTTCTTGAGCAAAAATGATGCAAAATGACGATGAAAATTACTGCACAGTAAAAAATTTTTCGTCAATTTGTGAAGTGTAAAAATTTTTGTGTAGCAAATTACACTCTAGTGTGTATAATTTTACATTCTCATGTGTTGATTTAACATACTAGAATGTAGAATTGACATTAGTTTGTGTAAAAACAGTCAGTAACACAAATATTTGTGTTAAATTTGACGAAAATTTTTTTACTGCATGTAAAAAAAATTTTTTTTCCTCTGAAATTGTAGGAAATGACGTTAAAATATATTTTAGAAAGCTAAAAAAGCTTTTTGGAAAAAAAAAATTTTTTTACGAAATTTTGGAGGTACCTCATTTTGCCCCCCCCCCTCCCCTATTATATTTAAATTAGAAACTTAAAATTGCGATGTCAATTTTGTACACAAATAAATTTCGAGTTAGATTATTGTTATTGTTTAAGTAGTGAAAATATTGGAGGTACATAATAAGGAGATTTTAATATTATGCATCAAAGATATTAATTGGTAAAAATAAGTTAGCAGACATCTAAAAATTTTTAGAATTTTTTTTTTTACTAAAAAGATGATTACAAAAAAATAAAAAAAAATTTTCATTTGTAAAAAACTTGAAAAATAATACGTGAAATTTTTTAAAAATATTTTTTAGTTCGTTTAGAAACTCAATCAGTATTTGATGAAGACTATTTAGAATAAAAGAAAAATTCCAATAATTTTGCATTTCGTGAATAACTTAGTAATTTTTGAAAAAATGACTCACTGATTCTTCAATGCCAGTCAACACAATCATAATTTGTGTCCGTGTGATGATTTGAAGTTAGCAGCGATTGAAAACTTGAGATTTTTATACAAAAATTTGTTGCAAAATTCGATTATAAAAGTACGCTAAAAATATGCGCATGTATAAATTAAATTCATCAAATTTGAAGTAAAATTTTTCGGAGTGTCTATTTTTTTATTTTTCATGTTGAAAAAAAAATTTTTAAAAGTAATTAGATGTCAGCTTACTTCAGTTTCGGTCACTAGTTATCAAACAGTACCGTAGGAGAATAGTTCATATAAGTAATAAATGAAATAGAAGGTCTTTGTCTTAGCTCGTGTGTAGATAAATTTCGTACTGTGGAAATCTAAAAATAATCTTTATTTATTAATTTTTCAGTTAGTAACTTATTTAGAATTTAATTTTAATAATTTAACGTTGTATCAAAACATAACAATTTCATTAAAATATTATTTATCGATTGCAGATTTTTACTGCAATTAAACCAGTCTTTATTTGCAAAAAATAATTGAAATTGGAGCTGAGTGATTTGAACGTGATAGGTGTGCATTTTTCGGAAATCTGGCGTTGTTAATTAATAGGTGCATAAAATATATTTTTAATTATTATATTTTGTTATTAATTACTAATAGTCGTAATTTATAGGAATTGACATTATTGTGCTGCTTTTTTTCGTCATCATCCGTTCAATAATTTAGTACGGAATAAGACGTCCTTGAACATTTGTAGTAAGTACTTGATCTTTTAAGCTGCTAAGATAATAGAATAAAAATAAAACCAATGTGATTTAAGCTTAAAATATTTAAGAAATTATTCAACAATATCATTAAGCATTATATACACAAAATTCCAGAATCTATATTGGATTTATTTAATGAATTATTTTTTTCCAGCATGAGAACGTGATCTAAAAATTGAATTTCATAAAACGATTAGTGACAATATCAACATGTCGTCCTTCCAAAACCAAGATAACTTTACGGACAAATCAGCATCGCTAAATCTTAATAGCACAGAAGAATCGGTTCTTAAAGAATATCGTAAAAATGACGAAAATTATAAAGCTGCTTTGTTGTCTGAAATTATATCTGTCGCTACTAAGAACATTATTAGTAGCGGTGAGATAGATGATTTCAAAAAATATCTTCAGTTTATTATTGTTATTCTTAATTATGAAAAAGAAGAAAACCCAAAAAAATTCAACGAAACCATCAAGGACGCAATAAAAAATGCTAACTTTATTATTTTGGCCTGTAAGTACAATAAAGTTGATATTTTAACATTTATGATGGATGAAAAGAATCAAACTTACTCTAGCTGTTGTCAACCTGGTAATTACGATAAGGAAAATCATAATGCTTTTTACTATGCTATTCGTGAAGAGAAGAGAGATTTTATTGATATGCTACTTGAAAAATGGCCAGGGTATGCTAATTCTGAAGAGTTGTATCAAGCTTTCGCAGACGCTTATGACGAATCGAAGCTAAGAAGGTTGCCTTTATCCAACGAATTAGTTATGTTTATCGCAGAACGGTTGATAGATCATCACTTTTATTCGGATGATTCAGAAGATAAAAATATTATAATTTCTCTGCCGGATATAAAAGAACGTGGTAAATTGCTAATTGAAAATATTCGTTTATTCATAGATGAATATTCAAATTCTAATGACCTAAATAGTATATTGTTGCTGCGCTCAAAATTTATCACTTTTAATATCAATATTCTAAAACAACAAATGAAGGCAACGTACTCGAAAATATTTTGGGAAGAAATTGAATTCTATTTGCTCGCATTTATTACTTCAAGAGAACGTAGTAAAGTTAAAAATATGAATCTTTACAAGTTTTTGCTGCCGAAAAGTAAATTACTTCATTATCTTGATCTTTTTGCAAATATTCTTGAGAATGAAATGAATAACATTGACGACCAAAACCTTCATACTTTGAAGAACTATCCTCGTCAAACTCGAGTCAAGATGATGCCTAAAATTCTTAAATCTAATCCTAAAATTAGAGAATTCTATGAAGATTATCAACGTGTAAAAGACGTTCATGCTTTAAACGTAATAAACCATTCAGTGAATATATCATTAGAGTCTTCTTTGGATTTGACCGATAAGCATGTTTCTTCATATTCAAAACATGAGCAGATGGCAATAAAAAGGACCTTGCAAGTAATCGCCGAATTGATGAAAAATAATTGGGAATCACCGAACATGACGAGATCTCTGAGTTTATTGCTTCTGACGTCATTGCCTTTACGTACACGACAGATTGTCGTTAATTTTCACAACTCATCATCTATTTATACTCAAACACGTAAGCTGGGTAAGGGAAACTCTAATAACCCTAATCAAGAAACTATTTTCAAGGATATTCAAGCGGATTTGAAGATAATTAAATGGGTGACGAGGAGTATTCTTCATGTTACTCTAATACATTACATTACAGTTATGTTAAAAACAATTGCTGAAATTAAAACTGCCGAAGATCTTAGAAATTATATAAATTCTCTTGATTTAGATTTCGATACGGAGTGGTTCGCAGAATATGAAGTTGATCAAAGCTGTAATTATAAGGAATTAATTTCAGAGTACAATGATCTTGTCGGTGCGCAAACCAGCAGTGAATCACTACTACTCAAGCCATTAGTTGATAAAATTGAATTGAACGGTATAAATGCAAAAGATAGATTTTTGCATGTTTCAAACTTGAAAAATTTCCAAATATTGTGCAGATTTATTAATCAGGAGAATTATAGTGATTATATATTCCAAAAAATAAAAACCGACGCAAAACATGCTTTAAATAATAAGTTTAATGAAGAAGAGTTGAAATTTGTTTCGTTGTCTTCGATTTCTTCCTACATTCTTGTCACTATAAATTATTTTAGTCCTCATTTTATTTGGAGTAAGTATGAGCGTATGATGTCACTAGTGAATCGAATTTTTGTAGTGATTGGACATGGACTCCAGAGCTATGAATGGCTTGAAATTTTGAGTACACAGTTATGGAGAAAACGATACTTATACGTTTCAAATC